GTAATAATAATGCTAATATTGTATCTACAGCATGATTATGTCAAGGGTTCTATTTGCCCGTTTGGATGACCACTGAATGAGATACTTGATGTATTTTGGGTCAACAAGGTAATCGGGGGCTCGCCTCCTAATCAACACGTCTGCGCAGAATTTTATTCCTATTGCAATTTCTGTTGTAATTATTTCTCTTTAATCGCCAAACTATCCAATCGGATGTCGATGAGGATTCGGTCTTGGTCTACCCAGATGACGGAAACAAAACATTTTCTTGTGTCCTGAAAACCTTACCTCACGCTCGATCAATAGTGCATAAAAAAAAAACTACTGACGTACTTCGTCGAGAAGTCAGAACATCTGTCTATCATGGTCGTTTCTGCACTTTAATTTTTCCCAAAACCATTTTGCCGAGAAGTAGGTCTTCGCATGCACTCTGTGTAATTCTGTGTTATGTTGCCTTTAACAGGTGATTCTAGGAACAAGTGCGGCAGGAAACTTCGGATGACAGAGGACATTATGAATGATCACCTACCGCACGAAGAGATTGGGACCAAGTGGAAACACCTAGCACGACAACTTAAGTTCCAACAAGCTGCCATTGACACGATCGAGAGTGACAGAGGCGCTTCTACTAACGAATGCTGCATCGCGGTCATTGTAAGGTGGATTAATGAGAGAGGAGAAGATGCTACTGTCGAAAAGTTTGATGAAGTTCTAAGAAGGATAGGACTGAGGAACGTAGCTGAAAAACTTCAGGGTATGTAATGTTAGTCCGTGTTCGTCAAAGCGATAGGTAACAAGCGATTAGGGATGAACTATATATATCTTTCATTTCAAGAAGCTAAAATACAAGCCCCATACCTGTAAGACATTGCACAACTTTATTTTTCAGAGTCCTTGTCTTCACCGGAGAAGGAAGAACCAGGAGCAAACTCCCCTAATCAAGTAAATACTAAAGAAAAATAGGCGTAAAACAATATATGCTAGAGGATAAGGCCTTAGACCTCTCTTTGAGTCTGTCCTAAATTTATCACCATAAACTTAAAGTAGAAGTATACTAATTAAATGCGTTTTATCTTTAATTTTTGTCCCTTATAACAGCTGAAACAGCGTTCTTCCCAGAAAAGTTTGAACTTTGCGAGGGTTTAGCCAGGAGAGGAGTCCTGGGCATGAGAAATTTTGACCCTCGATATGTTATCTCATTTCAGATAGAAAATAGAATGAATGAGATGGAGAAAAACTGGGGACTTTTGAAAAAAGAGGTACGAANTATGCTCCTCTAAACCGTCGCGCGTACCTCGAAGCTCAATCCGATCTGATAAGGGTGAATTCATTTTCCCCTAAGATGGTCTCAATGTGGTAGTGGCTTTTACGGTTAACGGTTAATATTTTGGCTTTTTTACGGCTAACTGTTATTTTTTTTCCATTACGATTAACAGGAATTGTTAAAAATTAATTGCTATTGTTCTAAGAAGTAAAATATTAAATCCCATCGTTGTAAGACATACTGAAAGTCTTAAGGAAAATTTGAGATGAAAAAGTATTTTTGTGTGTGTAGACTCTCGGTGAACTATAGCCGGAAAGAAATCAGAAAGTCGTAGAATAGTAGAGCTGTCATAACTATGGCGCGCCGAAGCGGACAAAAATACTTGTGTATGGATATGTAAGACTTGTTTTGTAATTATAAAATATACGACTTGTTGCGAAAATATGAAACTTGTTTTGTAAAATATACGACTTGTTGCGGAAATATAAACTTGTTTTGTAAAATACTAGACTTGTTGCTGAAATGTAAGACTTGTTTTGTAAAATATACCACTCGTTGCGAAAATATAAGACTTGTTTTGTAAAATATGAGACTTGTTGCAGATAAGACTTGCTCGCGGTGAAAAATAATACTTTAAGAGCGCCCACTGTTCGTGGTTAGCTGCTTTGCAGCAGGGCGCAAGCAGATTAGTTGCTTTGTTCGCGCCAAATTCAAATGACAAGTGCGATGATAAGTTGAACAGAGTTATTCCTCAGGTTTTCACCTGCTTCTTTGTCTGCCACAAACAAGTTTCGTCTAACGTCCTCGCAAATTTGTTTTGCAAGTTCTAACACTCCAAGAAAAGCTCTTAACGCATCCGCCATCTCAGTTTTTTGAGGCTTGAGGAACAGTGGGCTGTGTTCCACTTACCGCTGAACACTCAAATCGCTGGCGCTGTTAAAGTATTATATTTATACAAAGTCGTACATTTTACAAAACAAGTGTTATTTTCGCAACAAATCGTATATTTTACAAAACAAGTTTTATGTTTCCGCAACAAGTCGTATATTTTACAAAACAAGTTTATATTTCCGCATTAAGTCTTAAAATTTACAAAACAAGTCTTATATATCCGTACACAAGTATTTTTGTCCGCTTCGGCGCGCCATACAAAACGTCTGTCAACTCGCGCAACGACATCCATGCGACAAATTATGCCGACTCTTTCGACACTTCCGGTATCGATTGTTATTCTCGCCACCAGAACACATAAACGCATAACACATCAGACTCAACACTCAACAAAAGATCTCGAGATTTTATTTGGTGGTTAGATAACGGTTAAAATTTAATTACGGCTAACGGTTAACCCCATTCAGACCCTCCTGTAACGATATCGCTAAATGAGTCAGAATTGTTCAGAAATTGTTCCTGGAAACTTTCTTCTGATATCTCAGTATTCTCAGACACAAAATAGAATGAATGAAATGGGAAAAAACTGGGAACTCTTGAAAAAAGAAGTACGAAATTCTTTGAGAAAAAAATATCTCTCCTGATTCTAAGCGAAGATATTTATTTCTAGCCAAAAAGGATTTATATTTCTACTAATAAACAACGCCACCAGTTGCAAGTCAGAATCCAGGAGCTCGAAAGGGAAAATCAGATCATAACACGAAGGCCTTATCGAACTTTAGAAAAGGTTGTTAAATAATTACAGACCTTAACTTAGGTTATACGTTTCCAATCTGTTCACCACGGTGACATAAAGTTCTTTGTTAAAGGACGAAGACATTGTCGAAACCTTTCCCTCAATCTGATACAGACATAATGATAAAGAACGGTGTATGTTGTACTGTTTGATAAAACAGAACCAGAAATTGAACAGAAGAAATCTGGAACTGGAGGAGGAACTGTGCAGAGTAAAACAACAACTTCAAGACACTTCTCAAAAGGTTGGTAACCATATTTTCTGATCTGTTCGTGTTCATAGTCCTCTAGGCCGTCGCGCGTACCTCGAAGCTTGATCCGATTTAATATGGTTGAATTTCATTTTCCTGTAATAATATTGCTAAATGCGATGAAATTGTTCAGAAGTTGTTACGCAAAATTTCTGCTGATATCTGAACTCTTGGAAAAAGAGGTACAAAATGCTTTGAGAAAATGCATTTCTCCTGATTCTTAGCGGAGGTATCTATTACTAAATTGAAAGGAATTTATATTTTCACCACTTAACAACGCCACCAGTTTCTAGACAGAACCCAGGAGCTTAATAAGGAAAATCAGAGTATAACACAAGGGAATCTGGAATTGGAGCAAAAACTGGCCATGGTAAAACAACAACTTCAAGACTTCAAGACTTCTCACGCTCAAGAGGTTGGTAATCATATTTTCTGATGTGTACTTGTTCATGTTCCCTTAAACCGTCGCGCGTAGCTCGAAGCTCAATAGCATAAAACAAGTGTTCGCTACCCCTTACTTACCTGGCACCCTAAGGTGGGAAGTAAATACCCACCACTTTCACTAACATTGAGGTGAATGATTGTTTTAGTGTATACCAAACAGATGCTAAACAAATAAGTTTATTTCTGTCAATATCAAATAAATCAAACTCTTGACGCGCGATTTTACCCTCTCGGTGGTGAATGGTGCTCACTAATCACCTCCGAACCAGCCAATCAAAGCCCGCCAAAAGTATTACTCTCCTGGATGGTATTTTCTAAGGACATGTACAGTTATTATATAGCTGGGAGTGCCCGTGGTCAAGATGGAGCGAATCCTTTGTTCTGATTGGCTGGCCGAACGGATAAGATGGGGCCATCTTGCCCGCTCGGGACTGCCTACTTTGATACTGCGCAAGATAAAAAGTGTGTGGGGGCGGACTTACAAAGTTCGTAACTCTTGAAACGCGACGAAGTCGCAAAAAGCGGCTAAAGACAGTCAAAACAAAGAAACAATTAAACGAGCCTCTTAGGTACACTGTGCTACAAACACAGTTGGTTTTCTCTCCCGGCTCTCGTCGAAATAAACAAAAACGCAAAAAAAAAAGGACTCGGCCAATATCCAGCCATCTTGACTGAACAAGCTTGGTCAATGACGCAAATATATTAGTCATTTGTGGCGAGCGTCGCGTCTTTTCAATAGTTTTAGCCCGGCCGGCTAAATAGATAAGTTTTTACAGACACTGTTTTCTGTTATCTATCTCTGTCTCACATTCGTTCGTTTTTCCGATGATAAAGAGTGTTCTATTCATTTTTGCAGGATTTGGAGGACAACTTTGATATGTCACACAGAGAGAATGATTCAGAAGATACCAGAGATGATGCCGCGCGTGAAGTTGATGAAAAGCTGAAAGACCTCAACCAACAACTCCATAGAAAAGTGACGTCTCTTTTGCAAGTGCCAGAAGTAAAGGAAGACAAACTGAGAGTTCCTGTGACACTAGACCTTTTAAAAAGACTCAGTGTAAGTCTGCAAGAGTTATACAGCTCTGTCCTTTCAATGGCGGCCGAGACTTTTAAATGCAGCGAAAAGGTGAAACGGGAATTTTATGATTTTGCGTATCACGGTATCAGAGCGGAACACAACGATTTGGTGCACCGAGTTGAGGATTTGGCAACGGCACAAGAAGAAATGACAGACGAAGAGAAAAAGGATTTTGGTAAACTCCAAAAACTTCAGACCAACCGACAGAGAGAGGTTGATAAACTTGAAAATCTGTGGAAAGGTCTGTTCTCACCGGTAAGGATACCTGCATGTTAATTAATTGAAAAATGTCGCTTTTAAATCTATATTGATACGTGTGGAAATTCTAGGAAAGAAAAGAGATCCGAAGTGCTTTCAAGGAGATTCGAACAGACCCTTTGATCTGCACTATTTTGTTTCATAACGAAAGGAATTATTTGGTAAAGAAAACATAATCGAAAGATATCTAAGTTTGATAATCTAATAGTTTCCGTTTCATCTTTTTAACAGAGCAAAGCTGGGTAGTTAGGTAGTGGGCTTTTATCGAAATTTTTCAACATTGGAGAGTACTAAGAATTGATAACTAAAACACAACATATAAGTTTTAAAAAATCCTGTTTTTTATGTCTTTAGGCACTGCAACCTGAAAGTCTTCCTCCATCTTCCTATTCTGCACCATGTGGGGCGACTTGTTATTCTGAAAAGGTAATGAATAAGTCGATAAATTGCTTTTCGAAAAAATTCGAGGTTGAAATAAAGCTCTCATAAGACAAAACTATAATACATGTTTATTTTCATCCTCTCTTTGTTTGATCTGAGAACTGTTTGTTCCTTTGTTTTTTTCTGGTCTTCGTCGCATTGAAAACTTACTCAGTGGCGGATCCAGATTAGCGGTCATGGGGATTTAGACCACGCTCGTGACTTCTGGGTACTCTCATTACTTCTGTGAAACCAAAGTTTTTCCAACAATAGGATCGCATCTTTTCAATCAAGTTTAAATATTCAATTTCTCTTATCTTTAAATATTTCTTGCTCATAAAGGCGCTAGCGGAAAAATCGTGCTTTCAGAAAGAAAGTTTGGACCCATCCATCAAAAATTCGCAGATACACCCTTGTTATCAAGCAGTTCTTTACGTTTGGCAGCCCTGAAGACATGACCCTATTCACTCCTGACAACATTTTTTTTACTCTGCTACATAGGACTCGAGGCGAAAATGTACAGACCCAATTGCTCAACCCAAATCCAGGGTCAGGCTAGGTGAACAGAACACCAGTCCAGTGGCAAAAACTATGAGAAAGGATAAAAAGTTCGGAAGGCGTTTTACAAATGTAGGTCCCGCAAGATGTTTAACTTATTCTCTAATGGTCCGGATGGAAGACCCACTCAGTCTCACCGCGCTTTTACCCCCTCAATACCCCTCTGCATCTGGGTGTACAAATGTAACAAATCATCAGGGAAGGTTAACGAAAATTTCGGGAAATTGCGTGTAACAGATTGATTTATATCCGATTTACTCTGGCTTACTTTGTAATTCAGAAACTGGGAAAAATTCTGGCAAAAGACTTTTCACTTCGTCCGTCTGTTTGTTGGTTTTCGAGTGAGAAAGATTGAGGCCTAGCTAACGTCAATGAACTGGCAATTTTACCGAGTTATAGAGTAAAAAATAGTTAAGAAGAAAACCGAATAAGCTGAACAGCCATTCCCTCTTTTCCAGTATCAGTCTCGTCAACTTCTTTCTATATTATTTGCCATAGAGTAAATGCTTCTTCTCTTACAGATGAAGAAGACCTTCTTCGGAAAAAAAAGAAGCGAAGAAAATCTGTGCCGCCTTATGTCATACTCAGCAATGAATCACAGGGATTCTTGAATGGCTCAAGAAGGATGATTCAATCGCACATGGCATAAGGTGACTAGTCGACGAAAATCTAGCAAACGCACAAAGTCAATGAATATCTAGCAAAAGGCACAAAGTTGACAATATCTAGCAAACGTACAAAGTCAACAAAGAATTACTGCAAACGAACAAAGTCATATTGTAGCAGATTGCTGGTTAGTAGTGCTTTATTGCAAAGGGAGTAAAAATGCCTCAATAAATTGGATCTAAGCCAAACCCGATATGAACTTGACGATGATAAGGTTCCATTGGTGAAATTACGCAGACTTCAAAATTGAGCAGCTAGGCTTTTATACAACATACCAAGATACTCTCATATTACATCTAACAGTTTTTTGCATTGGTAACGGGTTAAATTTGACTTTTTAAAGTTATTTTATTCACATTTGAAATATACATGTATTATAGGTAACAATGCAATAATATCAGATCTTCTAAAGGTTTACCTTGACAACTACCAAATGTCCTGACCCTAGAATCGCATCAATGAATAAAATCTCGCATTCTGATTGGTTAACGAAGCGAGGTATTTACTGTTGAACTGCGAGTTGAAAACGAGGCTAAGTGTTGTTAACTGTTGTTTCGCATCTACGTAAACATAACAATTTTAAGTAATGCTTTTTCCTTTTTTTTCTCATTTTTATTCCGTTACGCGATTCAAGGAAAATCCATTACTTCACTCGTGAATTCCGCATTACATTGCACCTGAAAACCGATATCGTACGAATCGCTTCGCGATTCGTGCGATATCGGTTTTCGCGTGCAATGTAATGCGGAATTCCCTCGTCAAGTAATGATGAAGAACATGCTTTTTCGGTGGCTACTCGGAAACTATGTAGCAAGCTACCCCATGCCAGGGTCTACGTAATAGGAGACAATCGATACTTTAAAATAAATCTTAAAGACCTATCTTTTAGAATTGCTTTTCATTAGATTTCATCTTATGTGATATTTATAAATGGCTTGTAGTTTCGATTTATGTGAAAGTAGATGCTAGCGTCAGAGGGATAATTTCAAAACACTTACATGTCTCCTCATTCGCTAAAGAACAAAAAAAATGTTCCAAGTTCACCTAAATCACCTAAATTTGATAGACTTGCTGTGAATTTGGCATACCATCACCGTTTCTAGCATGAGGGTCAAAAGTATAAAATGAACCATTTGATTCACTTAAAGTGGTCAAAGTGACATTCCTAAAATTAATAATTACCTGCTTGTATGTTGTTAAAGTATTCATCAATGCTGAACAAAAGGAAAGGGAAGGACAAAGGGTGTCATTCGCATTCATCAGCCTTGTCGGCGCTCTCCATATTTATTTCGTATATATCACAATCAAGCTTTAGTTTTTCAAAACTCGCGAACGGCATTTCGGCAAGACCAACACATTTTGAGGAATGTTAACCGTCATTGAGCAAACGAAAACTTAATGCTGTGCTGGAGAAGTTCTCTTTTGACTCAAAGGTTGAAAAACAATTGGACTCGACGCTCGAATCGATGCTCTCCACGGACGAAATCGACTCAGAATTTGTCTCAAAGCCTAAACAGTCATTTGAGTTTGTAGTTGAATGGTTAGCTAACGAGCGACCCACATTTTGTTGAATAGTTAGCTTCAACGAGTGATCCACAATTTGAATCTATGATTCCAAGCTTTTCTTTMGTCTCAACCAGCAATGTAACTCAGTGGTCGAATTATTTACCTCAACGGGAATTTCCACGTGCATTTTACCTGATGTCATCACAAGTATCCCGGATATAAAAAACACAATCAACTGCGCACGTCTCCGATCTTCCATTCGACAAATTTTGGCTCTTTCTCGCTATTGTAAAAAATAGGCTGCTGCCTCGCTAGGGCTCGCCAGCAATAAGTTTCCTAATTTAAAAGATGTTTAGAAATAACCTTTATTCACAATAATCACCAAAAATCTTAACAATGTGATAAAATGCTCGAGGATCCAAAAGTGCATTAAAATGGCAACTAAAAATCTAAGAAAAACAATAATGATAATGATACGACCCGGAGTCTAACATCTTACAAGTTACAATTCTCTTTTTATGAAAAAATATCACTAGCCTTAACTACATAATTCTTAATTATGAGATGGAGAAGAACACGATCACAGGAAGATTTGTTGGCATTCAAGAAACTTAAGAACCACGTCACTTATATAACCACACGGGCTAAGCGGGCTTTCTACTCAGACTTCGTTAACGACAATAGTCAAGACCAAGGAAGGCTATTCAGGGCTACTCGATCACTGTTACTTCCGAGGAACGAGTTGTGTTTTCCAGAATACACGGAAAATTCAATCTTAGCCAATGACATTGGGCGGTTTTTTGACCGTAAGATTGCAAAAATTCGGGCTGAGCTTGATGCGTGTACTCTTTATCCTGGAGCGGTGTCTGAGGATRAAGTGTTTACAGGGGATAAGAAACTTGATCATTTCAATACGTACTCTGTGGAAGATATGAGGAAGCTGGTCAGTAGATCATCGAAGAAAAGCTGCCAACTCGATCCTATGCCGACCAACTTAGTAGTCGGCATGTCTGATACGCTTCTCCCTATCATCACTAATGTCGTGAATTCTTCTCTTTCCTTGGGACGTTTTCCATTTGATTGGAAAACGGTCCTCGTGGATCCAAGACCGAAGAAGACTAAGCAAGAGACTTCCCTATCCAATTTAAGACCTGTGAGTAATCTGCAATACCTCTCTAAATTAATCGAAAGGGCAGTCTATGATCAGATGACTGATCATGTTACTCAGTCGGGCTTGTATCCCACCTTCCAGTCAGCCTATCGACTGGGTCACAGCACAGAGACTGCCCTATTTAAGATACAGAACGACATACTAGCTGCAATGGACAATCAAGGAGTTACTCTTTTGGTATTGTTAGATCTGAGTGCAGCATTCGACATGATTGACCACCAAGTGTTGTTGAATCACCTGTACGTGACGTATGGAATTACAGGTACCGCTCTTAAATGGTTTCACTCGTATTTATCAAACAGGAAACAGCGAATCCTGATTAACGGGAGCTATTCGAGGGACTTTGATCTGCCTCAAGGGGTACCTCAGGGTCATGTTTAGGTCCCTTGCTCTTCACACTATACGCAAGTAAGCTCTTCGATGTTGTTGAATCCCATCTCCCTAATGTTCACACATACGCTGATGATACACAGCTCTATATCTCATTTAAGCCAGATGGCTCTGCTACCGAGGCGGCTGCTGTTGATGCCTTACAAGCTTGCATCAGGAATATAAGAACCTGGATGGCCCAAGACAAACTTCAGCTGAACGCTTCTAAGGCCGAGTTTCTTATTATAGGTACACGCGCACAATTAAATAAGGTTACGATAAATGACTTGCAAGTAGGTGAGGTAAGGTATTCAAATAAACATTATTATTATTATTATTAATTATTTTAATTCTTAATTCTGCCCCTTTGAATATTGTATAGAAAAGGCGCAATATAAATAAGGAATTCATTCATTCATTCATATTTTAATATGTTAGTTAATTGAATTGTCTATTCAATTCTTTTTGAAGTTTTTGATAGATAAAATGTTTTATTATTTTAATTATGTTTTGCGAATTTGGTCATATTAACATGTTAAAAATGAGTAATATAAGTATTTAGTATAATTTCAGAGCTGAGCAAAGAGTTCCAGCAATCTGATTGGTCGAGCCGTTCCTTATAAGACGCTATATAAACCGCTCCACGCGGTTTATATAAAATGTTAAAATAAAATGTTAATAAATGTTACTAAAATGTAATGATTTTAGAAATTTCTCTGTTGTTCAGCTCTGAAATTATACTAAAACAATTATTCGCCTCAGGTTCGGTGAATGCTGTAATCCCCTCGACTTCGTCTCGGGGATTATTCGACGATATTCTTCTCGCCTTTGGCGAATAATTGTTACATAATTGCGTGGAATCTAGTACTATCATTAATCTTCCATTCTCAAGGATGGCATCTCCAATCACCTGGGTCCGTGCAACATACACGTGAAGACATTGCAGGCATTTGGAATTATGCATGAAGTAGAATGCAAAGCCCTGTGTTCTTAATAGAGTGGCTAGAAGTCTGGGCAGGACTTTTTTTTCTCTTAAACCGCGTAAGTTAGCCGCGATCTAAGAGTAATTTGCCGTCGCGATATCGCAGGAGTTGCTTACTGACAGGTGCTTAAAACTTGATTTGATTTTCTGATTCAGACATGACAAATTTATACCACTGGGCACCCTATAAGAGTTTTTGCCAAGTAGGATCACAAGTCGCCCCATCAGTCTTCGCTTAAACTGGTGATGACGATAGCGATAAACAAGCTTAATTGAGAGAATGTTAATTGAGAGAATGCACTTTTTCATCCGTATCATACCACGTCAATTGTTTCTTAAAGTTTCTCATTGGCACCTTACCTAAGATAAGCCCAGGAATCGCTGCCCGATAGCAGAGACAATTCGCGGCGCGAATGACAGCAATAACGGCTTGCATGTGTAATTTTACACTTATGGCAAAACTGAAAGGCTTTTTTTTTTTTTTTTTCACAGTGCATTTTTTGTCTTTAGCGTCGTCATTAAGAAGCAAACGCTTAATTTACGTATGTGTGAACTGGAGGTGGGCTGGCTAGGAAAAACATCCAAAATCATCCTAATGTGCAAAAACACAAAAATCATCTTTTCGCTAAATGAAACATCTGCAGAAGTTTTATGTAACACGGTTGTTTTTGTTGCTTTTTGGAACCAGATTCTAACACCCAGTGTAACGATTTGTTTTTGTCTCTGTTTCAAAGGGCTTGAAGGAGAATGATTTCTTCGCAGATAGGTCGGTCCATCTTAGTAAGCTATTTAACTGAGCCATTAAAATCTTAAATTAAAGAGGGGTATTCCCCCTTAAAGTAAGGGGGGATTCTTGTCTTTGTGGAGGCGTTTACGATAAATGACTTGCAAGTAGGTGAGTTAAGGGTTTCTGCTGTCTGTTCTGTTAGAAATCTTGGTGTTTGGCTTGATGCAAAAATGAATATGACCACACATATTAACAGCATATGTCAGGCTATTTATTATCATCTATACCACATCCGGCGTATTAGAAAGTATCTATCATATGACAATAGGAAGTCCATTGTACAGGCTATTATAATGTCACGATTAGGCTACTGCAACGGTCTGCTATATGCTATATGGTCCGTACTGTCAAGACCTCGGGCCGATATTCTCCTAGCAAGGCCCTCGCGCTTGGTTAATAAGACATATATAGTGCACACTTAAAGCATGAACCAATCGTGAAATAAATTACAGAAACATTTCACCGAGTGTCCATAAAGTTCACTTAGTAAAGCATATTCTATACCAAACGTTTTCGGCTGTTTGCCATCATCAGGGTTAAAAATACCCTGATGATGGCAAACACCCGAAAACGTTTGGTTCAAACATTTTAAGTTTTTCTTAATCTTTTGGCCTTGTATAAAATATATTTCACCGAGTGTCGATCCTTATATGGTCAAGACATCAGCAGCTACCTCATGCCTGTGTTGAGTTGATCTGGAGATCACTCAGCTTCTTCTTGAGCACAGGGTCCCCCTCAGTCCGGTAGTCTTAGCCACAGGACTATCGTAATTGTTTTGTCGCTTTTTGGAACCAGATTCTAATACCCAGTGTAACGATTTGTTTTTGTCTCTGTTTCAAAGGGCTTGAAGGAGAATGATTTCTTCGCAGATAGGTCGGTCCATCTTAGTAAGCTATTTAACTGAGCCATTAAAATCTTAAATTAAAGAGGGGTATTCCCCCTTAAAGTAAGGGGGGATTCTTGTCTTTGTGGAGGCGTTTACGAAAAAGGAAGTTAAAGTGAAGTTGAAGAATAACCAACAGTAACTACGCAAATCTTAGCTTAGTCCAATGAAGAAATCTATCCGGAGAAAATTAGATTACCACGCACCTGTATATTAATCTAAAAGAAGGCATTTCTCCGCTAAACGTGTACCTGGAAGCTTTCCAAGCTTTCGACAATTTTCGATCCATAATCGATGTTTTTCGAACGGAAATCGATACATAAACCAGGGAAAAATACCCTTAACTCTACGGGGAAGCCCGGTAATTATTCAACTGTAACTCCGGGCGGAAATTTCAGAAATTACTTTATAGAGTGGACACACCAATGACTAAAATTCTTTAGAGAAATTTATAGAGCTGAATAAAACAGTTACTTTCTTAATGAACCTCGTCCGGGTAACACAGATGATGTTTACGCAGAGGTTATGATAAGACTATTTACTTAGTTTTTATTTCACCTTTGATTGACCAGCATAGATTTGTGTCAAGACCGCAGAATTCTTTATCTCGAAACTGAAACTGATATGGAAGTTTCGATGTCACTCTTACTTGTTAATTTTTCTGTTCCATACAGATATAAGTGGAAATAATAAACCATTAGCACGATCAAACAAACATTCGTGATCTAATGCGATTTGTATACAATCAAAACTATTTACTTAAAGATTGTTAAGTTTACTCATTTATCGACCTCATCAGCCACTGAGAACCTAAACAATTTGCTGCACAAATAAAGACATGTTTCAACGATTGAGCCCGGTTAAAAATTTAGCGGATTGATATAAACAATTGGAAAGTTGACTCTCAGGTTCACGTTTTAAGCCGGCGTCACCCACGAATTGATCATGACACAATCACCCACGAAAAGATGCGAGTCACGCACGACTTGATACAAGTCATAACCTCATAAGCAATGGCTTTGCCAATGGCCGGATAAATTTGAACAGACCGTACCCGATTCAATTTGATTATTCTTTATCAATTAATTAATTTGCGTGGGACAAAAATGAAATTTGACAACGTTAGATCGGTTCCAAGCAGCAAGCATGAATTCCATAACTTCCGTGAATATCTAATCCCTTTACCCACCATTATTAAATATGCCCCTTTCCTAAGTATTCTTCAGCCTGAATGGTGCGCACACGCGCCTTTCGCGGCTGCCCTCTAGGCTCGCGTGAACTCTCAAGCTATCTCCTGTGTGACTATCTCTAAAAACCTGGAAACACTTTCGAGACATAACTGGTTCTCAAAGATAGTGGAGGTATATGAGATTGCTCGCAACGAGTGTATCTATCGGTTTCCTTTTCAACCATCTTTCAAAAACGGCCAGGAAAATGTTGACTTGACGGTGCTTGTTATTCCATCATCCCAAATATACCACTTCAACACGCTAAGATAATTCGAATGACATCGACATTTTAAATAGGTTTTCGCACAGCATATTTCAAAATCCCCGATTCAATTATCAACGCTTCACTGACCCAGCGATCACATGACGGCTGGCTAAGCTCGATAATACCGGACGAGGAAACTCATGATTTTTTTATTCAGCTCTGTGCGTCTTGCAAATCGAAGCTCTTCGCTGTTTTGACTTTGTTAAGAAATCACTAAGCGCGTTTCATACTGTCTTCTGAACCTACGTACTGATCAATATTCAGCACAAGGGGAAACAATTAATGCATTACACTGAACCAGAACTCCGATTAAGAGACGACTTTGCACCTTGTCATTCTCAACTTGAGTTTTCCTGGTGGAGGTGATTTATCTTTGAAACAGGTAAAAATCAGGCCGTCGGAAAGATGTACAACGCCTGAGTGGGCCATGAAACTTTCAGACGAGACCTTGCTGCCAGAGAGATCAATATTGTTTTGTCTGAGAGACAATGTTATATGATCACTAGCTTGGATTGATTTGATTTGAGACACTATCTTGTTGGGTACAAGACACACGGAAAATATCATTAAATCCTCAGAAATGGGTAAGTACATCATAATGGAATTTACTGAGGGTCTATCCAAGTTAAGTTCCAATATTGCCGGTGTAATTTCCGGGTGAATGAGCCTCTTTTAGCTCCGTGAAATTACATGCCACCAGTGGCGTTAAGAAATATTGTTGTTGTTGTTATTGTTTTTTCCAAATTACGTTGTACATTGTATGAATCCAATATAGCCGCGGTATCTAACGTTCAGTTAGGCAGTTTTCCCTTTCGATTCGTCAGCGATTCTATCAGTTTCCCTATTCGTTTCCTTGTGCGTATATTATTTCATGCTGATTATGCATAACGCAGTTGCTGAGACCTTTTTGCCCCCTTGCCCTTCATTTCCGTATAGCATTATAAAATATTCCGACGATTAGCATAGAGAAAATTCCCTTCAATGAATGCTTAGCGTACTCCACATACCGAGAAAAAAAAAAACTCCATACTTATGACCCAAGGTAACTAGCTTAACAATAAAATTATTTAACATGTCGTCCACCAGCAACACAATTGACAGTTCAAGCTAATAAATCTTTAACTTGCTCGGTATATCCTATTTTCGAATTGCTTCCGGCTTACTGATAATACAATAGCATAGCGTCCATATTTGGTTCCTCAAAGACAATCGTGGCTTTAATACTCATTACCACGTCACCATCATCATCACTCAAGCTTGGTTAACAATTGATAGAAGAGAAGTATTATCTATTCTAAGGTTAACCTTGCAATAACAAAAACAACTTTATGGTACCTCTTCCGTTTCAATTAAACAAGCCAATTAGATGTCGGTAAGGATTCGGTATTGGTCTACTAAAAAGACAGAGACAAAAACTTTAAACTGCTAGTGCCCAGCCAACTTTACCTCACGCTCGGTCAGTAACCCATGAATAAACTACTGGAGTACTCGCGTCGAACATCAAGACCATGTTTGTGTCCGATTATCATTTACGCAAGGAAACTTTTATCGCTTCTTTACTTTTTCTCCATAAAAAATTTACAGAATAGAACCTGTTAGCGCTTTTTAGCATGTACTCTGTTTAATTCTAAGCTATGGTACTTTTAGCGGGTTGTTATAGCAACGAGTGCAGCTGGAAACTTCGGATGACAGAGGACATTATGCACACACTTCGACTGCCCGATCGAATTGGGAAGAGGTGGAAAGACCTGGCACGAAATCTGAAGTTCACAGAAACTGACGTTGGCACGATTGAGAGTGACAAGGGCTCCACTAAGGAATGCTGCATCGAACTTCTTGCGGTACGATGGATGAAACAAGAGGGAGAGGATGCAACCGTCGAAAGACTCGCAGAAGGTCTGACAACAATAGGGCTTAAGAGCGTGGCTGAAATACTTCAAGGTGTGTTATCAGGAGTGGATGACGAAGCAGGAACAAACAAATCCAATCAGGTAAATTCTCAAACTTAAAACAACTTGAATTGTAATACGGTAAGACCTTAGACCTCTCGGAGAATCTTTGCTGTATGAAAGACTATTTTTTTCGTTTATTGTAAGAGCTGAAACATTCCTTCCGGAAAAAGGTTGCAACCCTACAAGAGGTAAGCCCATAAAAGAGTCATTGGCCTGCGAAATTTTAAATCTTGATTTTTCATCTTATTCTAGATGGAGAATAGCATAAGTGAAATAGAGAAAAACTGCAAAAAATTGAGAAAAGAGGTGAGAAATTCTGTGAGAAATTTTAGTCCTGATTTTTTATCAAAATTACGTGTTATTATAGCTAATTGAAAACGGACTTATATTTACCAATAAACAGCGCCACCAGTTGCAAGTGAGAAACCAGGATCTAGAAAAAGACAAACAGAGTATGACAAAACAGCTTCAAGACAGTTTAGAAGAGGTTGGTAAATAATTTTAATTCCAAATGTGTAGCTAGTTGGTAACAAACGAGGCGTGTTGATCGCTTTGCAAGTTATGAGAACATACTCCCTCGGCTCCAGATCCCGAGACTTCTAGATCTCCCCCACTTCCCCAGCTGGACTAGTCCCCAACTTCCCCTGAATAAGCTCTTCGACAGTCAGTGCTGAGGAGTTTAAATAAAGTGCAGGGCGCTGGAAAATATTTTATCCGGAGCTCCGTTGGTAGCCTCGGCTAAGTCTATATACTTTTGACCAATAAACAGCGTCACCAGTTGCAAGTGAGAAAGCAAGAGCTAGAAAAAGAAAAGCAGAGTATGACAAAACAGCTTCAAGACAGTTTAGAAGAGGTTGGTGAAAAATTTTAATTCCTAATGAGTAGTAAGTTGGATATTTTTCTTTCTTTACGTTTCCAACCAGCATGGTAACAAACCCTTTCTTGTCAAACGGACACTTTATCTGATACTTTTCCCTTGATAGCAACAAAACCACAACATTTTGACCACTTAGATGTCGAATATCGTTGTCGATAAGAGAACAAACAGCTGCAGACCACGCAAAACCACTTTCGATTTGCTAAATTTTCCTCTGTGCAGTTTAATAAACAGAGCCAGAAATTACGCACGAGAATTCAAGAACTGGAAGAGGAGCTGTGTAGAGTAAAACAACAACTTCACAACACTTCCCAAGAGGTTAGTAATCATATCTTGCTTCTCTAGATATCAAACATTCCTTACTTCTCTTTCCAATTCTTCAATTCTTCAAAAATTTTTTCTCAAAACTGTTATTTTGATTTCATTTAATATGCGACAGTGTCACAAGAGTAAGAGTAACAGTTTGAAACTGGGAGAGGAATTGCCTGGAATAATAAAAGACAAGTCAGGACAGGTAGGCAGATGTTACTTCACCTCCTGAAGGGTTTCATTTTACGTTAAGCAATATAAAAGTATTTAAGATTCGTCCAGCGTAGATGGGGACTCACAGTGGCAAAGAAGCATTTCACAAGAATTACAAAAATCATAAGTTTTCTTGAGAATTTTGCGTTGGGTATGGCCTTACTTTTTAAGAAATTTCCTGAGCCGATTCACCAGAAGGGAGTGCTTGTTTGCTTATTCCCGGGCCACTTGCATAAAAACAAGTGCCAACTACTCATCACTTAAAAGCCTCCTGGTAATAGGGACAAAGTAAAGTCTTCTATGGCGAGCGGTGCGTCTTGTCGCAAAGCTTAATATCTAGGCTTTTACAGGATTAATCCCACTATGAAATAGTTACAACTCACTCTTCTTCTTTATCTTCTTGTGACAATAAAAATTGTTTACTTTTGTAGGATTTGGCCGAGAACTTTGATATTGCACACCCAGAGGATGATTCAGAAGATACCAGAAATAATCTTGAACCAGAACGAGCAGACACAGAGGGTGAAATCGACGCAAAGCTGAAAGACCTCAACGAGCAACTTTATAGAAACATAACGTCTCTGTTGCAAGTGCCAGAAACAAAAGACAAACTGAAAGTTTCTGTCACGGTAGACCTTTTAACAAGACTCAGGGTAAGTCTACAAGAGTTATACAGCTCTGTCCTCTCCATGGTGGCTGAGACTTGTAAATGCAATGAGGAGGTCAAACGAGAGTTTTACGACCTTGCATATCACGGTCTCAGAGCGGAACACAATGATGTGGTGCATCGAGTTGAAGATTTGGCAGCGGCACAAGAACAAATGAGCGACGAAGAGAAAGTGGAGTTCGGGAAACTCCAACAATATCAGACCAACCGACAGAGACAAGTTGAGCGGCTGGAAAATCTGTGGAGAGGTCTGTTCTCGACGGTAAGGATGCTTGTTATTTATTGAATAAGAGCTTTTGAATTTGTTTTGATACATCTAAAGGCATTTTCAAAACAAAACAAAAAAAAAGTTCCAAGTCTTTAAAAAAGATTCGTGCCTAAGATCTTTAGATTTGTACTGTTTTGTTTCTTGACGAAAGGATGTTTAATTTGTTTGGTATAAATAACAGAATCGATCGGTATTTAATATTAATAATTCAAAAGCTTCATTTTCTGTTTTGGAACGGACCAAAGAGTAGATTGTGGAGAGCCTTAAGCAAAAATAGTCTGACATCAGAAACAAACTAACAAATCCAAAACTCAAACGAAAAGAACAATAAAAACAAGAAATAAAATGTAATTAAAAAATTAATTTGCGTGTCGTTATGAACTGCAGCCTGAAAGTGCTCCTCGTTCTATCCACTCTGAACCATGTGTGGCGACTGGGAAGACTTATCATCGTGAAAAGGTACATATCAAGCTATTTAAAAAAGGGAAAGTTTAAATAAAGCTCTCTTAATTTCCCGCTGATTTCCATCTTCTCTTTGTATAATCAGAGAAAACTTCCGTTCGTTCCTCGTCGCATTGAAAAAAATCATCCAATAGATCAGACAAGACCCCTTCCCAACCCAACCCTAGAGACCTCTGGGTATTAGTATCACTTGTCTGAAACCAAACTTCTTCCAACGACAAGATTGCATATTGCTACTCAACTTGACCTATTCAAATTTTCTTATCTTAAAAAAATTTCACACTCTTTAGGTTTTAAAAGAAAAAAAAAACTCTGTTTTCTGAATCAAAGTTCGGATACGCTTATCAAAAATTCAAGGATTCACCTCTGTTAGCAAGCAGGTTTTATTAACGTTTGGCGGCCCTGAGGACATGACCTTATTCATTGCTAACGAAATACTTGTTTACTCTGCTACATAGGACTTAAAACGACAATGCACAGACCCAGGCGCCAAACCCAAGCAGGTTAAGCCTGGAGAACAGACCA